CACAAGTGCCTCTGCATTACCAGGAAGCTGAGGAATACATATTGGAATACTGCTTTAGAAGCATTTTGCCTCCACAGCTTTAATAGTCAAAAAAAGCCAAAGCAGCAAAAAGTGAACCTCTGCTTTTTTTTTTTTTTTTTTCCATCTTTCAAATCTCTCATGAGTATACCTAATTAGAGGAGCCTGGTGTATATCTAGATTCTAGCTGCAAGATAATTAGAGAAATGGCCACATTTAGCTTTCCCATTTCTTTAATACAAGAGGCATACTAAATGAAGAAAGGTAGAAGAGAGGTTGAACAAATCAGGCCACCATATCCGTCATAGGACCTAAGATCTCCCCTAAGAAAATGTAACTGGGATAATTTTGGTATAGTTGATATAATATTATTATTTTAATGGTTTTCAGAATCAGACTCATTTATATCTTTAAGACTCAGAGAATTATATGCATTAAAAATTTTTAATCAAGCAAAGTTTTGAAAAGTATTCCAACCACGTTTTTTTAAAATATATTTTATTGATTTTTTACGGAGAGGAAGGGAGAAGGATAGAGAGTTAGAAACATCGATGAGAGAGAAACATTGACCAGCTGCCTCCTGCACACCCACCACCGGGGATGTGCCCATAACCAATGTACATGCCCTTGACCAGAATTGAACCTGGGACCCTTCCGTCCGCAGGCCGACGCTCTACCTGCTGCACCAAACCGGCCTTGGCTCTTTTTTTTTTTTTTTTTTTTTGATAAGAGAGTCGTTGATCTGCTACTTCCTGCACGCCCAACACTGGGCATCTGGACTACAATCCAGGCATGTACCCTGACTGGGAATCGAACCATGACCTCCTGGTTCATAGATGCTCAATCACAGAGCCACACTGGCCAGGCCTTTCTTTGTATTTTTAAAAGTTATACCTCTGTAAAGAACATTAAGTCATTTTTATGAGTATCATTTGTAGATTCTTTTCTACTTGCAAGACTGTGTACATGCATAATAGTAGCTATTTTGATAATGGAACTTGCTCTCTGCAATAATTATAGATATAAATTGTAAGATATTATATCATTCTATTTTTCCTTCAAATGTATCTTCAATTTCCTATAGTACCAAAGCTCTACACTTGTATTATCTATCTACCAGTAGCCCTGCGTACCAATCCATGTGCCAATAGCTCCTCAGTAGCTCGCTGCCGCCCACCTGTAGCTCCCTCCATCCCTCTATCTCCCCCCTCATAGCTTGCTGCCCTGCCCATAGCTTGCTCCCCACTGCACACTTGTAGCTTGCTGCCCCACTCTCCTGCCGATCTGTGATCTGGTAACGACCATTTGCATATTACATCTTTATTATATAGAAGGAGGATATATGTAACAAACTAAGCGACAGTTACAACTGACAACGGGAGGACCTGTTGGTAGCTATGACATGCACTGACCACAAAGGGGCAGACACTCAATGCAAGAGCTGCCCCCTAGTGGTCAGTGTGCTCCCACAGCCAACCTCCCATGGCTGGCAATCCTCCCACAGTCCCTCCCCCAATCTATTATAGCTGACCCTGATGGCCCCTATCAGTGAGGCCAGGCTGAGGGACCCACCCATGCACAAATTCATGCACTGGGCCTCTAGTATAAAATAATCTTCTGAATTGTAACTGAGATTGGGAGCATAGCAAAATTCATACTTTTATCACTATCTGTAATAGAATATTTTATTAATGGAATTATTAAATCTTAGCCATATTGACTAAAATATTGACCATTAAGACCAAAACTAGGCCGGGACCGGTTTGGCTCAATGGATAGAGCGTCGGCTTGGGGACTGAAGGGTCCCGGGTTCGATTCCGGTCAAGGGCATGTACCTTGGTTGCGGGCATACCCCCAGTGGGGGGTGTGCAAGAGGCAGCTGATCGATGACTCTTTCTCATCGATGTTTCTAACTCTGTATCTCTCTCCCTTTCTCTCTGTACAAAATCAATAAAATATATTTAAAAAAAAAAAAAAAAAAGACCAAAACTAGTTTATCACCAGATATGCAAGCATAAATTTGTTGTGTTTTTTTTGTTTGTGTGTTTTGTTTTGTTTTTGCTCCTATATAATTTTTTTTCCAAATGCATTCAATTTTGGCAGGGTGGGGGGAGTCATACTCAGCCTAAGCTATTTCTTTTTTTTTTTATCTTTCTTTCTTTTTTTATTGGTTAAGGTATTACATGTGTGCCCTTATCCCTCCATTGCCCCCCCATCCTCCACCCCCGCTCATGCCCTCAGCCCCTGTTTCTGTGTCCATTGGTTATGTTTATATGCATCCATATAAGTCCTTTGGTTGATCTCATAAATTTGTTTTATAACATGAATTATTAAAAATATTCTCGGGAAACAAGTCTTCACTTTTTTTGTCTGGGTCATGTGTTTCTTTCATTTTGGCTTCTTCACATATCTTCAGAGTTCCAGTTTAGATTTTAACATTTTATCTTGCTCTCTTATATAGTTACTAGAAGCCTGATGCACAGATTCATGCACTGGTGGGGTCCCTTGGCCTGGCCTGTGCCCTCTCACAATCCAGGACTCCTATGGGGATGTCGGACTGCAAGTTTCAGCCCGATCCCTGCAGGCCAGACTGAGGGATCCCCTGGCGCATGAATCCGTGCACTGGGCCTATAGTTTGCGTATAAGATCTTTGGTTAATCTCTTCCCACTCTCCCAACTTTCCTCTGAGATTCACCAGTCTGTTCCATGTCTGTGCGTTGAGTGTCTGCCCCCTGTTGGTCAGTGCGTATCACAGCTAATGGTCGTATGGTTGCTTATTCTTTTATATATATAGAGAGAGATATAAAGACTCATTTTTTAAAAGCCTTGTGGAAAGGCATTAATTTGTAAGTGTATCTTGAATGAATCATTTAATTTATTTAAAGCTAGCTTCCCATTTTTTTTTAATCTTTTTTTATTTTTTTATTTTATTGATTTTTTACAGAGAGGAAGGTAGAGGGATAGAGAGTTAGAAACGTCGATGAGAGAGAAACATCGGCCAGCTGCCTCTTTCACACCCCCTACTGGGGATGTGCCCGCAACCCAGGTACATGCCCTTGACCGGAATCGAACCTGGGACCTTTCAGTCCGCAGACCGATGCTCTACCACTGAGCCAAACCGGTTTCGGCTAGCTTTCCATTTTTTATATGGAGTTATACCAGATCATTATTTAGTATGAAATTATTTTCAAATCTGGTAAGTTAGAGGCTTCCATTAATTAGGAAGTACAGGGAGAAATCCTGCTCATTTACAGTCTGTGTTTAGATCAGACACCCTGCCTCAATTTTAATTTTCCTAGTTCTGTACCAGAGGTTTGTTCCCCGTGTTTCCAGAAGCAAATCGTGACATAAGGATTTAGGAGAAAAGGCCCAAAGCTCAATGTACTCCACAGCGGCAGTGTTAAGACAGTGTACTGATTTCATTGCCTCTGGATTTTTAGATTATGGCTTATATAGCTACAAGAGGCCCGATGCACAAAAATTTGCATAAGAGTAGGCCTTCTTTCTCCTGGCTGCTGGCACCCGCTCCCCTCCAGCACCCAGGACTCAGGCTTCCCTCCTTCAGCCTCCAGCAGGCATCTGGAGCCCGGGCTGGCTTCCCCCTGGCCCTGGCTTCATCAAGAAGGAAGTCCGGAAGACATCTGGTCTAACTGGCATATTACCCTTTTATTATTATAGATTGAGAACTGTTGTTATTCCCATTATAGCAGATCAAAATGTTCAGTAGTTTTTATTTTAAATAACAAACTTGAGGACATCCTTTATTTTTAAATTCACATTGTAATGCTTTTATTTTTTTAACGTATTTTTTTATTGATTTCAGAGAGGAAGGAGAGGGAGATAGATAGAAATGTCAATGATGAGAGAGAATCATAATCGGCTGCCTCCTACATGCCCCATTGGGGATCGGGCCCGTGTTGGGGATCTGGCCCACAACTTGGGCATATGCCCTTGACTGGAATTGAACCTGAGACCCCTCAGTCCGAAGGCTGATGCTCTACCCACCAAGCCAAACCAGCTAGGGCCACATTGTAATGTTTTTAGCAGACTGAATCTGGCTATCTATAGTTTATTGTTGGGATTTTGCTGATTAATTCATAACCATTAATATGTCTTTAACACCTTAATTAAAGTGGATTTCTTACTTCAGTGTACATCTACTTTGCCGTGTTTTGTATTTTTACTTTTCCTTACCGATTCTCCCCTTTATATCTTAACAGAATCACAAATTCTGTCTCCACATTATTATTATTAGGGATAAGGAAAAAAGAAAAGAGGGTTGGATGTGATCTACTAATATCTAAACCTCATTTTAATGTTTATTACATGCTCTTCTCACACCCAACATTTTGCCAGTGTGTCTGACCTGGCTCTATTTATTTATTTATTTATTTTCTGAAGCACTTAAAAATGGTAGTTTTAATTTCTCATCTTGCTTTTGCTCTGCATTCAGTAAGTGCCCAATATATGCCAGTTGATTAACCAGATTTTGGTAGGGAGAGTTCAGTCCATTATTGCTATCTCTTATTTCCCTAGTTAAGACCAAGTCACTGCTGTTCTTTATTTTTAATCAGTTGAGTGTATAATCTGTGTAAATCAACTTTCTCCCTTTGCATCTCTTCATCTTCCAATTTGTTTTGTACTATATATTGTAATTAAGTACATTTGTATTATCATATAGAAAAAAATGTTAATTACTTTTTGAACATTTTGTTGTTTATAACATTGTATATAAAATTAATTGGATGGGGTGCATTTCTGTTGAAAATATCAGAAGCCTGTAGTCAGGAAAATTTATGAATTTATATGTCATACCACCTCCTGGCTTTCAAAAACTTTTACGTAAACACAAATATTAAGCATATCCTCTTAAAAACATTTTTTTTAAACCCACTCTCCCTATTACTTCTGCAGTTACTGAGTAATACTGAATGGCATTGAAGAAAATGTTCAGGTTTTTCAAAGAGCTGCTTCTGATAGGAAAATGCTTAGTAATGATGAAGACACGCCCTCCACTTCAGTGGCCATTTTCTAGTATAGTTCTGGAGAAACAAGTGGGAACCATCAAAGGAAGATGTGTACGGATCAAAGAACATGGGCAAGAGGCAGTAAATTTTCCATCTGGGTCAATTGGAGAAATTAGAACTATGCTGTCTGTGAGTAGTTTAATTAGTTGGACTAATTTTTATGGACTCTTTTAGCTTACTTAATCTTTTTGAATTCTATGATTACATTTTGCTTTGCTGATATCAAGGAACAATCAAATTAACTCTTGGATTTGGGGCTTTTGGAATCATAATTTAGAAGTTATGTTGAAATGGGTAGGCTACAAAAAGTGTTCCCTATTATTTTGTAATATCTTGTACATTGCAAAGTACTGTTTTTAGTATACTAAGGTTTAAGGTGGGGAGGGTGGAAGACAATAAGTGATTGCTTTCAGATTACACTTTCTGATTGTATGCTGATTAAAGAGAAGTGTAAAATACATAGAAACAGCCCATTGGCAATATCATTTATAGTAATGGGGAAATTTATTTTCCTTTGTATGATTTTTTTAAATTATGACAGTTGTAGCTCTTTACTGATATATATTAAAAGCTTCTTCCTTAAAAATAGAGAAAATAGCTACCTTGTATAATTTGGTAATGACAATCTTCCTCATCAACTTATTTTCTGATGTTCTGCAATTAGCCTAGAAAGAGATAAGAAAATAATAGCAATTGACAACAGTTCATCCTTTTTAATCACATTTTTAAATGAAGTTCTATATGTAATAATTGCATTTAGATCTGTAGCTTTAAGCTATAGCTAAAGAGAAAATATTTTAAAAATATTTTTGGTAGCTAATAAATGTTTCCAGGCAAATATTCCTTATCAAATCTAATTACTAATTAATTACAGATACCTTTTTCCTTAAATATTTTGTTTTAAATAAAAAATATTTTAGAAGTTCTATTGGAATAGTGGAAACTTTAAAAATATATAACTTTAAAGTACAGTACTTTTTTCTGAAGGAATTAAAAATTTATACAAATATTTAAATAAAAGTTAAGTAATTTGGTAAATTCTGTTCACAAGGATGACAGTCAAAGGCTTCTAAATAAGCACAGATTTTTAGGTGTGAAGTCTTCATTAACAAAATTCTACAATTTCAGGTTTCTGTGCCAATGTTTTCTGCCTTCTGCCTTCAGTTAGTAGCTACGTCTAGTTTCTTTTGCCTTTTGTGTTTAATATACACTTGCAGAGATCAAATGTCATCTGGCATCTGACAATAGTTAGCATTTTTTGAGACCTAGTAGAATGGCTTTGATTTTATATATATATATATATATATATATATATATATATATATATATATATATATATATGTGTGTGTGTGTGTGTGTGTGTGTGTGTGTGTGTGTGTGTGTGTGTGTATATATATATAATTTTATAGAGGAAGAGTGGGAGAGAGAGAGAAACATCAATGATGAGAGAGAATCATGGGGCTGCCTCCTGCACACCCCAAACTGGGGATGGAGCCTCCAGCCCAGGCCTGTGCCGTGGCTGGTGTGACTCAGTTGGTTGACAGCCTCCTGTGCACCAAGAGGTGTCAGGTTCCATTCCCACGGAGGGAACATACTCAGTCAGTTGGGGCTCATACAGGAGACAGCCGATGAATGTTTCCCTCTCTGATATAATACATTTTAAATCAAGGAACTGTGTAATAGTTGAGTAGATCATTAATGGGTGTGGGGTTTTTTAATGAGAGAGAGAGATTTGTTGTTCCACTCATTTATGCATTTATTGTATGTGCTCTGACAGGGCTTGAACCCAAAACTTTAGCATATCAGGACAACACTCTAACCAAATGAGCTGCCTGGCTAGGGAGTTCATTAATTTTGAAATAGAAAAGTACACAGGACCATTCTAATTAATTTGTTAAACTAACAAATCAACACCTTTTTTTTTTTTTTTTTTTTTTTAAGATCAGGCCTTATGCTGGGCACTTTTTCCCACATAAATAATGTGAATATATTTTCATTGTAAAAAGTCAAATACAGGGAAAGCATCAGCCCTCTCTTAAGCCCCCTTTCCTTCCACAATTTCTTCCACTTTTCTCAAGTAACTACTGTAATCGGTTTTCTTCCAGATCATTTTCAGTGTAATTATATTCATATATACACACATGCAAATATGTCTAATACACATAAAACATATAATTTGACTTTTTAAAATATAGGTAGGTTTTTGTTTTATTTTGTTTGTAAATGGGTTCTTAAATGATTATAGTAGTCAGTATGCTCATTTGTACATTTAGCTGACTTCTATAGTTATACCCATAGAACAATTGCATAGTAGAATTGCTAGGTCAGTAGATACATACATTTATGTTTTCATAAATATATTTCCACTAATAGTGTATGAAGTATCTATTTCCTCATACCCTTGACACTAAATATGATCAAACTTCTTAATTATTGCCAACTACCAGATAAAATTATTTTTAATTTGTACATCTTCAATCAAGGGTAAGGTCCAACATGTTTTCATTTGTATGTTTTTTCCTTTGAACTGTCTGTTTATACCCTTTATAGTCCCAAGATTCTTTGCAGCTAATTTCTAGGCTTGTGTAATCCGAGGCAAATATCTACATAAGGATTAAAGGTCATCTGAAACATAAATGACTGGGAGTTAATGTAGAAATCAGAAGACATATGTTGACCTATTGTGAATTTTCTAACTTAACCTGTTAAATAATTTTAATATTACAAGTCTAGCTTCTAATTTTAAAAATATACAAATTATACAAAATACTATATTAGACTAAGTTAATTAACTAATTTACTCTAAGTTATTTGCCATGTAGCAGAGAAAATAACAGATTTGGCTCTTGCTCAGCTGCCTAGGCTCCAATCCTGGCTCTATCATTTATGACATGTCCGAGGCCCAGTTACTTGGTCATTCCATGCTTGCCTTAGTTTCCTCTTATCTTAAATGAGTTCTGCTCAAAAGGTTATTGCAAAGACGAGATGAATTAGTCTTTAAAAATGCTTAGAATATCCGAAATCATCTTTAAAAATGCTTAGAATTGGCTCAGTGGATAGAGCGGCGGCCTGCGGACTGAAAGGTCCCAGGTTCGATTCCAGTCAAGGGCATGTATCTTGGTTGCGGGCACATCCCCAGTAGGGGGTGTGCAAGAGGCAGCTGGTCGATGATTCTCTCTCATCGATGTTTCTAACTCTCTATCCCTCTCTCTTCCTCTCTGTAAAAAATCAGTAAAATATATTTTTTTATATGCTTAGAACAGTGTCAGACTCATTACGGCTAATCTATACATATTCACTGCTGATGTTTGAGAAAGATTTGGTAGGGAAGGAGTTAACTAAACAGATGAGAACCTACACTGATAACCTCCTGTGAGAAAAAGAAAAAATTGCATCTGGGTATCAAACAGAATTAGCAGCCTTTGTTGGTATCTCTAAACCAGAGGTAAACTCTGCTGCAGAGGGGGGAGCAGGTCAAGAGCCGTTCCAGATGTCCACTACTTATGAACCCCAAAACCTGTGGGAAACTGCATCACTCAAATGAATACTTGCTTTATTTTGTTTGTGATCTTGTTCATATTAATGCCTGCTATATGGCTCTTTCACCGTTGGTAACTAGGTTTCTAAATTGATCTGCCTTTTGATTATTCTTCTTCTTTGCATTTTATATCTTAAAATTTCCCTCTGTTTTCTATCTGAATTATTCCCAATTGTTACTTTGTTAACCCTAGTCTAATAAATATAGAACTATCTTAAGAATGAGTCAACAAACATATTATATATTTAAAAGCCTCGAAGGGTGCTCACTTTGACAACCCATATAGTAAAATTGGAACAATACAGAGAAGATTAGCATGCTCTTCATAAGAATGAAACACAAGTATGTGAAGCATTTTATATTTTTGCTGTAGCCAGTGTGGCTTTGTTGGTTGGCATCCTCCCGTGCACCAAATGGTTGCTGATTCAATTCCTAGTCAGGGCACATGTCCAAGTTGAGGGCTCAATCCCCAATGGGGGGCGTACAGCAGGCAGCCAAATGATGTTCCGCTCTCACATTAATATTTCTCTCTCTCCCACTCTCTTCCTCTCCCTCTAAAAATAAATAAACATTTTATTTTTATAAAAAAAAAAAAAAAAAAGAATGAGTCAACAGAAAAATCATGGAGCCTGTAGATCATAAGAATACCAGTTTAGCCGAAACCAGTTTGGCTCAGTGAGCATCGGCCTGCAGACTGAAAGGTCCCAGGTTCTATTCCGGTCAAGGGCATGTACCTTGGTTGCGGGCACATTCCCGGTAGGGGGTGTGCAGGAGGCAGCTGATCGATGATTCTCTCTCGTCGATGTTTCTAACTCTCTATCCCTCTCTCTTACTCTCTGTAAAAAATCAATAAAAATATATATTTAAAAAAAAAAAAAAGAATACCAGTTTTATGAAGGTTTGGAGGAGTTGCCACTATTCAAAATATATTCATGGGGGAGGTGGAGGAGGGGGAGGGGGGATTCAAGATTTGTGTTTCTAGATTGAAGGGACTAAAACCACCAGTGAAAGGGAGGTATTTGAGATGAGGACAACCTGGTGCTGTCCATAGTGCCCTCCCCTCCAGCATGGCCTGCCCGCTTCTGAGAATCTATGAGTGTAACAAACTATTTTTTCAATAGCAGTTGTCTCCTAATCTGTTGGCCTCACCACACCTGAATAATAACCTACATCTTAAAACAGCAAGATGAACTTGAGAGAGAAGACTTGGTTGTTCCTTCTGATATTCTTTTTCCTCAAAGATGCAGTTTTGTGTTTTGGTTAAGAGTGTGGGCATTGGACTTGGACCAGTTAGCTTCACATTCTTCTGTGTAACATTGGACAAGTTATTTAACCTTCGTATGCCTCAATTTCTTTCTAACATATGAATAGTGGTATTCATATTTTGAATATCAATCAGTTTGTTATTAGGAGTAAATTATAAAACATGCTTAACTAATGCCTAAGAATATACGCAACTCAACAAATGTTAACTATTTTTACTGTTACTCTTATTATTTCCCAGCTTTTCACCACTCTTCCAAAATACTGATCTCTCTTAGGGCACTCTCGTCTTCTCACACTATGTATTATCTCTAACTGAGCTCATCTA